ATTCCAATATCTCTGTAAAATAGCAAGTACTTTGATGGGTGCAAAGGCAATTTAAAAAGTGTCATCAATTTTGCTAGATCTTTTTAAAATTGTTTGCTGTAAACAATGCACAGTGGAAGAGGACACCCTGGATTACTAGCCTATTGTAAAAGCACTAATTAATAGTATTCATTTTAAGGTAGAGGTTTTCTTTCTTGTATCTCTTGTAGCACTGCTACAGTGAAATTGCTCAAAATATTGTTACTAGTCTCATTTGTTCATGAACCCAGCCTTAGAATCTTAATTTGTCACAAGTCTCATCTTCAGAATCATCACTCTGGACTACCGGACATGTTTATAAAACATGCTAATAAATTATAAAAACCACAGGTATTAATACTCAGAACATGACACAATTTGAGATTTCACAACATATATTTTATTCCTTCATTTTGTAACATTTACAACTGCAAAGCAGCAGGGGGCAGTTGAGTCCTAGTGTGTGACAATTCCTTGTTTAGAATGAATATTTCCTTTAGATTTCCAGTAATACCTGCACATTTCCTTCTAAAAGCCAGGTGGTGATGTATGAAGGGGAGGGTTGGGGAGGTAATGTGAATAGGAGTCGCTAACATTGTCAGCCTACTGTGTTCCCATTGTATAATAAAAAGTTTACCAACTATATGTGGCCTCTCCTGTTTGATCAAAAACTGGTAAGTTCACTCAAATGAAGATAGCCTTACTAGCACACATATGATGCTAAATGACTTCCAATGGACTCATAAGCATGGCTGTTAAGTAGTTGCCCAAACTGATGTGATTAAGTACATAGAAAAGCTGAGTGAATATGGCAACTATTGGAATTAAGTACATTTAGTAAGGTCACTAAATTCAAGGTCATTATACTTTTGTATAATCAGCAAGAAAAGAACAGCAAAATAAAATATGAAATACAGTGCACCAAAAAATGTCCTATACTACAAAGAAATGAACAAGATACATACTATCTCTTAAAAAAAAAAAACCTTAAAAGCCTAGCTGCTGTTAATGTCTATACTATTTAATATCACTGAGTGCTCCAATTATCTTTTATTTGTAATTCTTGATCTAAGAGCAAGAAATAATGAAGCAATTTTGAATTTTTGAGGTTTATATCTCTTATTGCTGATTATTTTGTTGTAGTAACTTTTCACATGACAGCCTTATGATAGCTGTTTTTGGTGTCTTGTTTTCGTAGCTCAGTCAAAGCGAGTAGGCTTTCGTACATTGAGTATTACTTCTGTCTTTGAGCTTGTTCTGATTCCAAAAATCTCATTTGTTTTAAATTTTGAAAAGTAAACAATATCAGGGCTAGAAATACTTTTTTCTTGAGCTGTGTTCACTGTTATATATTTCCAGATTAACTTTACCTTTTGATAGTTTTGTATTTGATTGTATTATAGTTCTGATTTATATTTTATTATAATAGAGAAAAATTTAAGAAATTTTGATTTTAATTAAAAAATTTTAAGAAAATAAAAATATATCAGATTTGTTAATCACCAGTGAAGGAATATGGAATAATTTTTTTGAAAGACTTGATTTGGCTTCCTTTTAGAGGTAAAACAACTCTTAATGGCTTTATTTCTTGTAGTGTAGTTTATGTACTTCCAGATCCATATATATCCAAAATATATTTAGAAATATGGCATATATCCACAATTATATAATTTTTTTCACAATTATAAAATTTTTTAAAAGCTCTTGCTGACTGAAAACAATATGATTGAATATATATCATATCTAAGTATCTTCTAATAGTTCTATAAAGTGATTTCAACATCTTATTTTAAATTTAGTATACTTGTATATATATTTGGAAACTATTTAGTTTATATATATATTTGGATCCTGTATTAATTGCTCACATAACTAGAAACAAAGCCTCACAAATATTTATAGATCTAAAAGGAAGAATAATAGTTAATAGTTTCCTATTGCTGCTGTAAGAAATTACCACAAACTTAATGGCTTAACCATTACGTTATAATTTTGGAAGTCAGATGTCCAAAATCACCCCTCTATTGATAATCACTTTGGGTTGTTTCTAATGTACCTTTTACAAACAATGTTGTAGTAATCCTTCCACTTTTCTGTGTTCTAGTATATATAAATATAAATATATATATATATATATATGTATGTATGTATGTATGGTAAATTCCTAGAAATGATTATGAGATCAAAGGATTAAGTGCATTTATTTATACTTCTAAACTGACCTCACTAGGAGTTGTATCAATTTGCATTCTTAACCAGCAATTTGAGAGAGTCTGATCCTTAAGCTTCACCAATAGTCAACAAACAGATTTTTGCCAGTGTGGTAGATAAAAAAAATCTTGGTGTAAATTGACCATCTTTCCATATGCTTTAAGGTCATTTGCATTTCTTTTTCTGTGATCTCTGTTCTGTTTATTTATTTATTTATTTATTTTATTTTTTTAAAGATTTTTATTTGTGCATACAGAACTGGGGTACAGGCCAGAGGCTCAGGGGCGGTGAGAGGCTTCACCAGTGACAGAGTGGGGAAC